AAAGAAAGTTTTTGTGGGACGCACAGGGGGGGCCCCCCCCCATAAAGGAGTGGGGGGTCCTGGCCCCAAAGGCCCAAAATCATGCCATTTTTGGGGGAGAAATTGTCCATTTTTTCACCCCGGAAAAAAGGAACGGGAAATCCCTCTTTGGGGGGGGGGGGGGGGGCCTCTTCGCAAATGGGGGGCCCTTTTGGGACTTGGTTATGGGGGAAGGGGTCCATGGGGGTTACCCCGCCCCCCCAGTCAGGGTCACAGGGCAAGGGGGAGGGGGATTTCAGTGGATTGGATCGGTGGTTGGGGGGGAAGCCCCGCACAGGGTTCAGGGGAAAGGGTGGAAATTGGGGGGTCCCCTGGGGCCCCAAGGCGCAACGGTGAGCTGTGAAGGGGGTCCCCTGCCGGGTTGTTTTTTCCCCCCCCCTCCCCCCCCTTTCTTTTTTAATTTTTTTTTCCCTTTCCCTTTCCCTTTCCCTTTCCCTTTCCCTTTCCCCCTCCCTTTCCCTTTCCCTCCCCCCCCCCCCCCCCCCCCCTTCTCTCTCTCTCGCTCTCTCTCTCTCTCGCTCGCTCGCTCGCTCGCTCGCTCGCGAACATTTTTTTCTTTTTTCCTCGCGCTCGATGTACATAAGAGAGAATTCTTGTCAGTGGGATTAGTGACACCCCTTTCTTCCCTTGCGTTTGTCCGGCCGGCTCGTGCAGCGCTGGAACAGGCCGAGCTCATAGGGCGCCGAGCTCGCCAGCTGCAGCCCTGCAGTTCTCGATACTGAGCCCTCCTCCCGACCCGCTCTTGATGTCCATCCGGTCCGCGCCGTCCAGCTGGGCGACGCCGTCGCGTACGAGCCGGCCTCGACGCGCTCGCGGCTGCCGCGGCGGCCTCGGAGGCGCGCTCGGCGAGCGGCCGCGCTCGGCGGTGCTCCTGCTGCTGCCGTGCCGCCGAGCGGCGTCGAGGCTCCAGAGAGGCGATGCCAGTGACCGGCCGCGTCGGAGGCCTCGCTCCGGTCAAGTTCCTCGCGCTCTCTCCACCTCTCTCGCCGCAGTTGCGTAGGCGACAAAATGAGCTCGCTCGCGAAAATCACAAACAGTTGGAGTGGGAAGGGGTGCTGGGCCCGAGCCTGCTTGACACTGCGGACACGGTCCGTCTGCGTCATTCCCCCCAGGCTGATTCGCCGTCTCGTACTTCCTCGCGCTTTTTCTCACCCTTGCCCAGAAGCTTCCCACGCCAAAATGCGGCGCGATGCAGTCCTGCTCGTGGAGGTTTGTGCGAACAGAATCCAGTGCGGTGCAGTGTGGCAGCTTGCGAGGAGCGGTGACGGGTCGTTTGCCCGTGGAGCCAGTTTGCCAAACCGGGAGGGGCAGAGCGCGGGGCCGCTCGCACTGTCACACCTCGCACATCCCGTCCTGGACACATCACTCGTGGATAGTGCGCAGCCGCCGCCGTGTGCGCCAATTCGTCGAGAGTGCGCAATGACCGGACGCTCGGGAAAGGTTTATGTAAGTACATTTGAAAATGGCCGAGTTCGTCTCAGTTATCGCCTCTCAGTTATATCGTGAGTCTTTGTCTTTGACGTCCGACGACATGTCACATGAAAGTCATGAACATGACAGGCGGCCGGTCTCGGGGTCTGAGACTCGCTGCTGACCGCCGACATTCCGCTCTCTGAGTCGTGAGTGTGCGCCCTGGAGGCCGGCCTCCCGAGTCGCCGGCGCCCAGTACGTCAAGCTCCCAGCTCATAGACTCAGAGAGGGACGTGGTGGGCGCAGAAGCGGGCGAGTGATGTCCGTTGCGAAAGCCCGAGGGCGGCTCGGCAGCCCCGGGTCGGCTGGCGAATAGCCTGCCGTGCCGTCAAAGAGCAGAACGCGTAAGCAGCGGCCGAGATGCGCTGTCCTCGGCCAGCGCGGGTCCTTCGTCGCGGCGTCGCGGTCTCCTGGTCGAGGAGACCGGCGCAAAGGGCGTGGCTCACTCGCGCGGCAGATTAGCGCGAGCTTCGGCCGAGCACAATGCGATTCGCCCCACCACCCATCCGAACGAGATTGAGTTCGGTCCGCGGGCACGTCGAGGGCGAATCACGCCACGCGGCGGTGGCGGCTCGGGCAACATACACACGTCCTCGAAATAGTAGCGCGCCGGAAGACCGAGGCAAAACTCCGCGCGCCCGAGACGACCTGCGCGGCGGGGACGGCTCTCTCGACTCCGCGTGCACGAGTGGGGGCCTCGGAAGCGGCGAGATGCGGCGCCGAGAGAGGGAGACATGTGCCGCTCTCGCGCCTGAGCGCCAAGCGCAGGCGTCGCGAGCCGGTGGCGGAGCCGCCGAGCGTCGCGAACGGTCCACCGCTCGCGCACGCGTGCAGCCGGTCCAGGGCGGCTAGGCAGAAAGAAGAATGGCGCGAATTGAGGCCGTACGCGCCCAGCGCGAGCCTTGTTCCAGAGCGGCTGGCTGTCGCACGAGCCGGTTCAGCTTTCTTTTTCTCTCTTATTCCTGCGAAGCAGTGCAGGGTCGTCTCGCGCACATCCGCCCCGAGCGTCTCGGCGGTGGAGTCGCAACGCGATGCAGGCCACACAGGCGGTCGTGGTCTCGCTGGGGCCGTTGGCACCTGCGCGAGCGGTCGGCCGCGGCCGCCGCCGCCGCCGGCGGCTCGGCCAAAAGCTGTGCGCGGGTGCCTCCGTCTTTGTGCTCGGCCAGCTGGTGCTGCACCGCTCGATGACGGCCGAGGGCGACGCCTCCAGTCAGGCCGCCACAACCGACAGGCCAGACCACGACTCGGCCGCCCGTGTGACCCCGCCTGCCGGCGGTGAGGCGAGTGGCAGCACCGCCGACCTCGACGCGCTCTACCCTCCTGAGGACGGCGGCTGGGGCGACGGCGGTGGCGGCCCGTGGCTGGACGCGATACGAGACGCTTGGACTGCCTCGCTCGGTGGCAGCGGCGGCGGCGGACGTGGCGGCGGAGGTAGCGGCGGTCGGACGTTGCCTCCGCTGCCGCGCCTGATCCACCAGACGTGGAAGGACGCCTTCCCTCCGCGAGAGCTCTTCGCGCCGCGCTGGCGCGCCTCCCTGCAGCGGGTCAACCCCGGCTGGTCCTATCGGCTATGGGTGCGCGGATGGAGAGCGCGCGCGCGAGAGACAGAGAGAGGTGGCGGCGGAAGCGGCGCAGGTCGCTGCAGTTGCGTCCCGACTCGTCTGATCTCCTGCCTCTCACCCGCCATCTCCTGCCTCTCACCCGCCGTCTCCTGCCCGCGACTCGCTGCTCATCACGCGCCCGACCGCCCAGTTGACACCCCCCCCCCCCCCCCGGGGGGGCCCCGCCACAGAAGGACGCCGACAACCTCGAGCTCGTCCGCTCCCACTACCCCTCCTTCCTGCCACTGTACCAAGCATACCCCTCGCCGATCCAGGGCAGCGAGGCGGCCCGCTCCCGCCCGCACCCGCCCCGGACCCAGCCGCCCCGCCACGCTCCCAGCCCGCCCGCCCCTCCCGTGTCCAGCGGGCCGACGCGGCGCGCTACCTGCTCGCGCACAAGCATGGAGGCGCCTCTGCCTGCACCTCGGCTGCGAGTGCCTCTGGGCGGAGCGGGGCGCGGTTCCTCCCTCGAGCCGCGCGCGCGCTCTCTCTCTAGGCGTCTACTTCGACCTCGACTACGAGTGTTTCGCACCGCTCGAGCCGCTCGTCGCGGGCGCGTCGCTCGTCCTCTCCTACAAGGCGCCATATCTCCGCATATCTCCCCATATCTCCCTATATCTCCCCATATCTCCCCATATCGCTCACAAGGCGCGACCCGCACTCCCACCCGACCCGCGGCCCGCCCATTGCTGTATGCCACTACCCCTCCCCTTGCCCCTCCCCTGCCCGCGCTGAGGCGCCCTTGTCCTCTCGCACACGGCTCGCGGCACGGCCCCCGGCAGACACTTCTCGGCAGACACTCCGCTGATCACTTCTCTCAGACGCTTCCGAGACCAACTCCCAGGCACCTCTCCCGAGGCGCCTCCCCGAGGCACCTCCCTCCTTCGGCCCGCAGGAGGGCTCCGACTTTGCCAAGGGCGCCTCCAGCCCTCCCCTCCAGACAGACACGGCTCCGGGGGGCGCGAGATGACCCGAGATGACCCCGAGATCAGGCGCCTCCAACTCCGTCTTCGGCTCCGCCCCATCGCACCCGCTCTGGGCGGTGGTGCTGGACGTGCTGCGCAACCGCTCGCGCACGCCGCTGTCGGGTCACACCGCCGTGCTCTTCTCGACAGGCGAACCCTCGGCCTCCGCACCCTCGGCCGCACTCGGCCACGCCTCGGCCGCACTTCCCCATCGCCGCCCCCATCGCCGCCCTCCTCCTCTGCACAGGGCCGGCGGTGCTGCGCGAGGCGCGTCACAGACTCCTCCGCCTCACACGCCTCCGCCCCCCACGCCTCCCTCTCCCCCCCCTCCCCCCCCCCGCCCCTCACACCTCACTGGAACCGGCGAGGTGAGGCGGGAGGTCTGAGGTCAGGCGCTGCGCCGGCTGCTGCGGCTGCGGCCGGGCGAGCAGATCTCGGCGCCGATGCTGACGCGGCTGCGCGAGACGCTAGGCATCGCCGTGCTTGACTCTGCGCTGCTCCACCCGGTGACGGCCGAGCGGAGGGACCTGTCCAAGGCGTCCGCCGAGGGTGAGCGGCCGCTCTCCGCGGTGTGCACGCACCACTTTGTCTCCTCGTGGGTGGCCCACAACTCGTCTGCGCACGCTGACACCGAGCGACGCCGGCGGGAGGGGCACAGCCACGCCGCTCTCGAGGGCGCGGGCCTGAGTGTACTGCAGGAGAATGCGTGGTGAGTTGGGTGAGAGACGATATTGACATGTGTCCTGAGGATCGATGGAAAGATCTTGCGTGCATGTCATATTCTTTGCATGTCATATTCTTATCATATACGGCATACGGCACTTCTTCCTTGTAATGTGTGCATGTATACATCGATATACGCACAGTGCCATCCTTCCTCAT